CTCCTTGTAAGATTCAATGCGCTAGTTGGGCGCATCTGCGCTAGTTGGGCGCATCCAGAATGAACGCAAATTGGTTACCAAAATATCTTTAGAGAGGTAATTGCGCAAGAGGTAGTGATCTTGAACCACTTCATATGAGGCGCAAATGGTGGATTTTGTTGTATATGCTTATCGCAAGAGGTGCTGATAAGGGTTATGCTTGGAATCTAGAATTGCAAAGACTGTGGTTGTTTTTTTAAAAATTGATCACTTATTTGTTATGAGATGATGGGATGTAGACACTATTATGGTTAGTGTCATAATGATTAGCAGATGATGATGTCAGCAGGCAAGATTGGCTCACTCACACGAGCAATCGCCCTTGGCGCTTGGGAGCGAGCAAGGATGAGACTAGTGATATTTTTTTGGAGCCAAGAGAGGCTTAAATCATCCACTATGTATGTCGCCTTGGTTACAACCAAGATGAGGTCATGTTAAGGACCAAACATGGATGTTAGTACCCACTTTCCATGTTGTGCCTGTTATGATTAGCCAGATGCGAGATCTCATTTGGCGCCTAGAAGGCGAGCAAATAGAGAATTCGGGTTAGGCGCTAGAAAGCGACTAGACTAATATCTATACGATGTATCGAGTATGACGTCACTCTTTATGGAAGAGTTACTCCACCGTAGCATGTATTCATACTATATGTGCTTAGCGACCGAGTAATGAGGTGAGAGAATGGATCCCTGCTTCCTTACCGTTCGAGTCTTACGTGTCATTATTGATATGACTTTCATTTATGTACCCTTTTGTGACTTTTGACTATGTCATAAGGTAAGGGGTTGATGTTCTGCTACTTTGATATGTTGCCTGTGGTCATGCATGATTCGGCCTTAAGGGACATCACTGGGAAAGCGGTCAATCCTAAACTAAATGGCATGAGTGCAAAGGGAAGATCATCTAGTATTACACCACTGTTGTATATTCACTGCCGGCAACTCACATCGCTCTGTATGAAAGGTGAATTGAGTGTGAATATATTGCAAGAATTGAGAGGGTCAAACATGCTCTTTTTGAGAGATTAGAGATATTTTTTGAACCGGTGTAATTAGATGGGTCTGGGGTATATGAGACACTATTTCTGTTCTTTTTGGGTTGATGTCTCTATGCTGGCTCATTTTGAGTTTCTAGTATAGAGCTCCCACATGCAGGTGTTCTCAGCAGTCGCACGGTGCAGCGGCTAGTATGAGATTGTTTATTTTTGGGGAGATTGAGATAGAGACGTGGCAGTGTCATGCCAACTCATGTCCGAGTGAGAGATGTTAGATTGAGGAAGATTTAAGCTTGATTTCCCCTTTTCTTCTATCTTCTTCTCCTTGGTTTCTCTCTTCCACGAATTCACTCACTCTCTCTCTCTCTTAGATATTTTCTTTCTTTTGTTTTGAGTCAAAACATGGTCAACATCCTTATCTATATGTACATATATGTCATAAAAATAGAATTGTGCCATAAACATGAGCCAAACAAGGCTTAGCGATTCAGACGAAATTCAGTCCTCAATTTATTTTCCTAAATGGTTCTAAAAATTCCCGGTATCACATAGGCGTGCTCAATTTCGTTTTCTGAACCCATTACGGTCATCAATTTCAGTCCCAAAGTTCTCAGCTCAACAGATATTCTTCTAATTCAAACAGATATTCTTCAATTAATTCGCATAAACACATAATTAATTACTGATAAATATGACACATGTTTTGGGGTCATTACATGGGTTGATTGACCAGATTCAGGAAGCACGTGATTTACCCACGAGATCCTTCAATTCAAACTCTGTTTTGAAAGGTATGACCATAATTTTTTATTCCGCTGCGTTATACTTTGTTTACAATTTTTGATCTCCTTATATACACAAATCACTCAAAATGTAGAAGATTGCCTCTCTGTGTCAAACATGGCCCTCGGGCGAATTGCGGGTGACGGTTGTTCAGCGGTGAAGGCTCATAATGGTGGGTAAGGGTTATGTGGCAGAAATGGGGCTTGTGGTAGTGGTGGTAGTTGAGGGAGGGGGTCGTGCTTTTAAGGTGTGGTGTGGGGCAAATTAGCAGGTTCTCACTGTGGTTCCCTTCTGCTTCCCATGAAACTGAAAGGGAATGCGAAGAGCTCAATTTTGATTGCCTATTTTTGATAACCTAACCGAGCATTTCTAAACCCAATGATGTGTATCATCTTCTTGATACACCATTGGGTCTATAAAATAGGTCTAAAAAGTGGACTTGTATATCATTTTTCTAACCGTAATAGCAACACTTCTTCAAGGTTCTCAACCGGGCCTAATCTAAGGCAAAGTTTTAGGCCATAGTGTTGGTTTATTCATTTGTTAAGTTAAAAATAACAGATTGCAAGCACATAGATCCATTTGTCTTTTGAGAAAAGGAAAAAAAAAAAAGAAAAGGAAAAAGGAAAAATGCTCAAGTCGATTAAAATGGTTTGACCCCTATTTTACTAGTTTTAGTTTCAGTATCCAATTATAAGTCTCTCTGTAATTATTTAAGTGTGCAGATACATTAAAACTAGCTTGTGACAATGAAGAATAGTACAGAGACCAACAATTAATCAATGGAGTAACAAAAATCAAATTGCAACATGGCTTTGTCTATCTATTTTTTCTCATTTGATTCTTTGGCTGCCCCATTGGGTTGATCAAGATTGGTTGGTTCCATGAACTCCTCCACTTCTTTCTCTACTTCTTCAACCTGCATTTTCATTTAAGTAATCAAACTTCGTTTTCTTAAAAAATAATTTCCAAATGTGTTGATAAAAGAGATAGATGAGGCTGGCTTGTCTCTCAATGAATTGATCAAGGTAGATCAGATTAGCTTCATCTATCATGTGTATGTTATTAATTTTGAAGTGTCATGTCAACAGGTTCAATTGATGCCTTGAGACTACTCAATGAAAAACAATAATAAACGATACGTAGAAGCTGAAAATCCGTTTGCAAACAACTAATAAGTTGGCTTATATTGACTACTCAGTGATGCGAATTTACTGTAGTATAGACCAATCAATGCAATCCACCCCAGATAATTTGAAGTAAAAAGTTGGAAAATTCTTTGAGAAAAAACAAGAATACACCCACCTACATTCATAATCACACACTCAGAAGAATGTGTGTCCCACGCCCCATGCTTTCTATAAATGTGTAAATAGGTGTGTTTGTAACATAACTAAAAGCCATTATGCTTCGTTGTGATTGTTTGATAGATCGACTAAAAGAGTAAAGTTTCTTCTTGGGTAATATAAATAGGATGTAGTTTCTTCTTTGTGAGCTTGCTATAGGATTCATCTTGATGATTTAAAATGTTTATATTTTACAATTTTTTGTACAAATCATTCATGCAAAAAATTGAATTGATCGGACTATAATAGTCATAACATCATATAACATTTATCTTTAAAATAATGACTATTTTTTTAAATCATATTTGTCATTTATTTTTTGAAAATAAATGTGATCTGATTATATGACTATAATTATCTAATTAATTTTATTTTTTACATAGATAACCTACTTAAAAAAGTCTTAAAAGATTAATGGTACGATTCATTAAATTAGATTCCATAATGGTTAACAGAAGTTCAATAGCACCTTTTTATTAGAATTACCTAAGGGACAGATTCTCCACCCTATATGTAAGTCTAGAGCATTGTTATTTAAAACAAAAAAAAAAAAATTAGACTAAATTTTCAAATTTAGTGATGTGACAATCGATTAAGTTATTAAAAGGAATACTCTCTCTCATATCTTTTTTAATTATCAACCAATCATATTATTTATGTATCATTAGATCTATAAAATGAATTTTAAAAATAAACTTTATTATCATTTTTCGTAAGTTTAACATGTGGGGAGTCGGTGGCACGTGAACAAGTTGGTCAATTTTTTCTTTATCATGTGCACAAGTCACACACAAACGTGCTAGTTTATCCATTTGTCTAATAATCTATCTAAGATTTATCTTCTCAAGATTAATTAACTAGACTTGACTTGGTCAGATTAACAAAAAGTATTGATCTAACGAGAGAAAAACAAAGTGGATTAGGTGAAAACCTTGTCAATCATCTCTTCTGCGAAATGAGCATCCTTAGCTGCTTTCTTGGCTACATTTTCAACTCTTTCAAACGCACCTCTAAGCTTTCCACCTTCCGGCAGCTCATCCCCGACATCTTCCGCTACCTTCTCCACTTCCTCGGCCACCTTCTCTATAACTTCTGTTACATGTTCCACTCTCTCCACTGCGTCTTCAACTTCCTCTACGCATTTTATCAAGTTTAACGACAGTTTAAAGTTTGCCAAAACTGAAACTAAATTAATGCACATATATGATAGAAATACTATGTAATCAGAATATTTAGAAAAGTGTCCAGAATTGAAATATAGGGTGTTAAATTTTAAATTTTGATTACTTTTTTTTATATATTTTTTTCTAAACATGTAGTATGATGCAATATGTATTGTCAATAAAGAAGGACGAAGAAGAACAGCATATAGATCCTTACTGGTCAATTTGAATAATGGCCCCCATTTATTCCTAAAAAAGGGTAGGACGATGGCTATTAGCCCGCCCAGAATCCAATTTTTCCTGCTAGAAAACCAATGAAAACATTTATCATGCAGTTGGAGATGCGAGAAGAAAATAATTGAGTAAAACAATGCTACGAAAAAATGCTCAAAATATTCAAAATTACAAATATTATGTGAATCAGATTGATTTTGAGTCCACGCCAAATACCGCCCAGAATCCAATTTTTCCTGCTAGAAAACCAATGAAAACATTTATCATGCAGTTGGAGATGCGAGAAGAAAATAATTGAGTAAAACAATGCTACGAAAAAATGCTCAAAATATTCAAAATTACAAATATTATGATCAATGCAATTACATAGTAAGTCAAAGTTCAAAAAAAAAAAAAAAAAAGAGTTCAAAATTTACCAGGAATTTGGAGGGGGTTGTGAAGGAAGTGGAGGTCCTGGCTGGGTACTGCTATTGACAGCCAAGTTTCTGTGATTTTCAATATTTGTAAGAACAAACAAACAAAAAAATAGATAAATAAAGAAGATATATTTGCAAAGCAATCTGAAAATTGAAAGTGGAATAGTTACATCTTTGTATTGCTCTCCCTCTTCGATCGGTTGTCACTACTGAGATATCGAAAGCCTATATTAGCCGGAAAACAAGAACCATCCTCATGTTTTGAAATTGCCAGACGATGACTTGGATTGAAGATGAAGCAGGTTTGAGAATCGCAACGGGGCTTGATATGTAGTTTGGTCAAACTATGAACTACGATCAATCTTATTGTCGACATAGTCTTTTAATCGAATTCTCTCTGGTGCTAATATAATATATATATTTCTTGAACTGATGAAGACGGAGATTAAAAGAGGTCAATAAAGATAAATTACAGGTTTCTCAGATGGTGCCTTAGGCAAATTACAAAGTGAGAAAGGTTAGAATGATATTAATATTGTTTGCCAGATAAGTTGTTTGGCGTGGCGTGGTCCAGACATTAGGTGAGAATACTCTAATAATGCCAAAGGTCAAAAGTTCACAAAATCTAATTAATCTTTATAAGCTACAAACTAATTATGGTACTTTTGGAATTCAAATATTTCGAATTAATTATGATCTTTTAGGGCAAGTAACATGTTTCTGTGGGGTTTCCGATTCAATGCACATTTTCTTGTTGCAGAGAAAAGTCGTCCCTACCCAAGTTCATCACCTGTCGAGTTCCTCTCTCATTATTTCATCAATTGTGATGAATTAAAACACAAAAGAATATTGTGTGATTTAAATTTATTTTATAACCTATATAACACTCAAATATAGATCTTAATCACACATTATATTTAATATGCGAAGGGGTCCAAATAATTACGACCAGGACTGGGCCAAGTTACTGCTACAAGACTAAACCAATCCAAGCCCACGAAGATGGGCCAGGTTCGTCAAAATGTTGATATGGGCTAATTTCATCATGCCCAACCGATGTGGGTCCATCAGAACCAAACATGGGTTGAGCTCAATCTAAGCATCAAGGTGGACCAAGCCCACAAAGCCCAATTGATGTGACCCGAACCCACCTAGTCCATTAGAATGGGCCGACCCATCAAGGCAGAACAACGAAACCCAAGAAGACCATTCGAAGAGGGCCAATCTAACCCACGACCAAAATAGGTCGAGGCTTGGCATCTAACCCGAGGCCACATGCCATCATAGTCTCCGAATGTTGAATAGACTAGGTTAGAGACAATCATGAAGATATTGATTAAGGGGCATTTTGGCAACATAATAAAAAGCCAACATTTTGGCTTTTTAATTTTTTTAGATCATATTACCTCTCTATTTTTTTCATACCAAAAACTCAAAAAAGTCACAAAAAAGTCAAAAAATCAATTTTTTAACCAATTTCTCAAAACACCACTAAGTTGCATATGTAACCATGTCAGCTAGTCCATGGTCTACTACCAAGGGTGTGATAGTTTGAACTACAGACGCACCCAAGCCCCGTCACCCGCACCATGGGGATCAAGGTCGTGTCTATAAAAGGCACACATCATTCACCTGAAAAGGTACACAACACACTCTGCAATCGATTTGTATATATTGTCTCTCTGTATTCATTTTTCTTCTTTCTCTATACGTTGATTTCAGCATCAGAGGGGTTCTCCGGCCAACCCTAATCGGAAAGCTCTCAGTGGTTCTCTGATTTTGCAGGTTGTAGTTCCCAAAAAGTCTAGTTTGATCACGGAGCTTTAATTCACTTCATCAATGCGAAATCTATGCTCGCACAATGTGTTTTAATTTTGTGTAGTTATCATTTTTATTATTTTATTGCTTTGTGATAAGATAATGATATTAGATTGTTGTGGGTGTTAATTTTTGACCTCACAACCAAACTAGATCTCTTTGCTAAGATCCTAAGAACTTCGATGTAGAGCACACAGAAGAATCGAAGAGCCAACACTTGCACACAAGAAAACAAGTAACACCATAGTGGCTCGTTCACCTAGGGACACTCCGACGATCAAATTAATAACTTATCCCATAAGATAGCCGCACAAGTACCCAACTCACAAGTAAAAATATACCTTAGACCCATGGGATGTCTTACTTTTATATAGTTAGTAATGCCTTTGTCCCTTAGAAGTGTTACTTCTATTCAAATAAGAATAAAATCTTTTAAGAGTCTCATCTCTATACAAATAGAGAGCCTTTAACCATTTAGGACTCTTATCCTTTATTCGAATATCTTGGATTTCGATATGATCACATAATGTCTCAGCATCTCAGCTAATCCATGTGGCACCTTGACAACAACCTTAGCCACGTGAACAACCCTAAAAATATATCCCCACAATTATGTATCCTCACTGTAGACCGCCCGAAACTCTCTCCGCGCAGCCCCCCTTTCGGAGAGGGCGCGAATTGGGTTCTAGCTACTACAGTTTAGACTCCTGTCACGGCTCTAAATCTAATCTCACAAAATGCAAGGTAAGACTGATAAATCACTAAAGAGTCTAAATCCGGCAAATCGTTTTGGAAAATCGATTTTAATCAAAAAAATGCCAAACATGGATTATTTTGCCAGATTTTAGAGTCGCCACCTAAATATTTTGTTTTTGGAAAATTTAGGAAACCCTGACTCATGCATAAGGCCATGTGTCCGTCATTACCAAAGTTGCCTCGGCTCGGGAATTTGGGTACGAGAGGGGAAGGTCCTGAAATGAGCACCCCCGCTCGCCCGATCAAAGGATCGGCCTCTACTAACATGATATGTTGCTTTTATAAATACATGCATTCTTATTCCGGTTATTAATCTAACTTACTATGTGATGCACATAACACACAAGTATAGACTAGATCACCTAAATTGGAACAAAACAATTCAATGTTTGTTTTTGAAAATGGTTTGAAAGTGCTACTCGCAAGTAAGCTAAAATGCGGATTTGCCACCCTCAAGTGGGCTTAAAACAACATGATTTGCCACTCCACAAAGTGGGCTTAAAACTCACATTTGATGAATTGTTCCAATTCAAGCAATAAAACCTTCACCCACAGGCATTCATGCAGTTAAACACTTAAGCAAATAACCTCATGGCAAGCATGCTATCATGGCAACACTCACGCTCATGCAAGGATGCTAAAGCGTAAACACTTATAGTGTACTCCAAGCTAAAACAAAAACCAGTTAGAAATCATGCATGATCCTAGCTATGTTAAGATGCCTAATGCAACACATGCAAAAATGCAATTAAATAGGCTCGGCTATCTAAGATGACATACGAATGTAACACTTGATAACATGCTGTTAAACACGTATTTAAGGAAGTGTATTGAAATACAATGCAGCTTGAATGATGTGCCGAGCCCGGTGCATGCAAGACAAATGAATGATGCACGCATGCAAAGTATAAGGTATGCTAATCGAAATATGCCTTAAACTAACCATCAAAAGCTGATAAATAAAAAGGAGAAAGAAATGGGGCAAGAAGACATGCATACACACACACACCCTTATTATAACATTTTGCCCCCTCGCAGGAGGGTCCGGATAAATAAAAGCTAAGCTAAGCTACTTAGCTAAGCTAATTATTACAAACCAACTAATTAGTTATTCTAACTAATTAATTATAAACCGAATTGAAACTAACTAATACTAAGCTAATTGAAATATTACAACACTTGAATTAATTAGTTACACAAACTAAATTAAAACAATGAAATGGCCTCGCGGGCGAGGGTGACATGCATGCTCGGTTGGCATCCGCTCGGAAATCCATTGCTTTGCCGTCAATTGCCTCTGTTTGCACGTGCCTTGGTTTCTGAACCTTGAACCAAACTTCTAAACTGTTTCTGCTCCAAAACAGGACAACTTCTGCACAAAAAAAGAACTGGTGGCCAGTCGTCCACAAAAAGTGGCTGCCGGCCACCTCAACTGGCCAACCGGCTAGTGAAAGTGGTCAGTCGGCTACTTGAACTGGCCGATCGGCCACTCATTGTTCTAGGCTTCTGGTTTTGCTATAACAGAGAACAATAGAGGCACAACAATGTATTTCTAAGACAATGTGTGTACTACCACACTCTCTATCATGTCTCAAGCTCAAAGGAGCGTGGCACTCGGCTCTCAAACCACCAACCAAGCACTTTAATGCACGGTGGCCGAGGGCCAAGCTTGCACCATATTGATGAATGCACAAATAACACACAAGAGAGCCTCCACCCTATCATGTTTGATCAAGGATGTTAGCGACTGAGAAACGCAACACGTTTCATCACTTTGAGTATGAAATGCGCCACATCCCTTGTGTTTGGATTAACGTCTGATCCAAACACAATGCAAAACAACACGCTCATCTTTCAATGCTAAAGTGGCATGCACAAAACTCTATCATGTAATGCATGCAAGACATGTTAAGGGGTCAAGAGCACTAAAGCGAAGTGAAGAACATTACACATGAGGCATGCACTATCGATCTCAAATGGTCACACCAGTTATGGACAGACCTAAGATACTCCAAAATGGTGGCCAAAACACACTAAAACTTAGACACAAAAAGCAAGAAATGCATGCTTACTCGTTGGCTCGCAAGCAAGGCACCAAGCTTAACTTTCAAACACATTGAAAGAGTGATATATATGGGAGCATAACAGAGGTACATGCACTAAAATCATACGCCAAATGATGACATATCATGCAAATAATGCAAGTATAGCATTTTAGGGTCCTTAAGCATTGAAACTAGTGAAGGACACAACACAAGGACCATGCAATACAATGCTTAATGGACCAAACCAGTCCTAAACAGACCTCATGTATGCCAAAACGGTGGCCAAAATGCTTTGAAATAATGGCATGAAAGGCAAGAAAATGATGTTCATGCATTGGCTCATCAATAAGGCATGAGGCACAACATCTTAAACACAATAAAAGGGTGACACACATGAGAGTATGACAAGGTTATATGCTCCGAAATTATGTGTTAAATGATTCCATATCACATAAACATCATAAATATGGCATGCTAGAAGGCCTAAAGCATAAGGCTAGTAAAGAGCACTACCCAAGAAACATGCAATACACAACCTAAACAACCAAACCAGCTCTGGATAGAGCTCAACCATGCCAAAATAAAGGCCAAAACATGCTTAAATGGTAGCCCAAAAGCTTAGACAAGCATGCATACGTATTGGCTCATAAACAAGGTATAAGGCACAACTCACAAAAGCTATAAAGAAGTGGAATATGTGAGAGTGTGACTACACCATATACAATGAAATCATGTGAGAAATGTGTTTAAGTCATGCAAACAACTCAAGTAAAGCATGCTAGAGACTTGACACTCAAAGGTAGTCAAAGCCACTTACACTACAACCCTACAAGGCAAGCCTCACATGGCCAAGACCATTCAAATAGAGTTAAGGCATGCTGAAATAATGGCAAAAACATGCTGAGATAGAGCCAACACAAGC